GGAATCTGGATGCTGTACCGCAGTCACCTCTCCCATCTTTCAGCAGCGCAACACATTTTACCTGCTCAAAATGTGTCTCACCCAAAGACAGACCAAGTCCTTTGTAGTGCATCTCTTGGGTTCAGGAAGGTGGTCAGATGGTTCCTCAATCCTGCCTCTGAAAACAACCTCTACATGAAAACCCAGCACTACGTTTCTGTGTTCAAATTCTAAATTGTTTCCAGATCCGTTTATTTTTGCAGACTGATAAAAACAGATTTGTTCTCGTCCGGTGGACCATACCAAAGCAAAGCAGTGAATGCATGAAAAACATCCTGTAATGCTGCTGTTTCTTCCTTGTAGAGGTAAAGAATTATGAGCTGCCTTTTGGGTCAAAAGTCCAGGAGCAGCCCTGCGTGGATACCATGAGGGACATCGTGCTGCATGGCAGAGGACGCCCCGAGATCCCAAGCAGCTGGCTAGTACATCAGGTAAGCTGGGAGTAGCTGACTCAGAAAAGAGCAACCCACATTGTCCCACCTTCCTAACCTACCTGAAAAATTATTAAAGCTGTAATCAAAGCAAAAGTGGACAGAACTCTTGGGCCCTACATCCAGCTCCTTCTTGGCTGGCTGAGCCCACATAAGCCCCACTAGACCCGTTTCCCTGGGGTATAAAAGCCGCCAGCCAGGGGTACGGCAGAATTTATTGATCAGGAAGCATTACGAATGCCAGCTGATGGCATTCGGCTATCTTGCAGATAACAGCAAAATGCAGCATTTTGGTGCAAGCTATTCTCATGAAACAGTAAGTTATTTGAGTCTCCCCCATTTCTCCCACAACCACCATATCCAGAAGCCTCTAGCTCAGGAAACACACAGTCCCTCACACACAGCCATCTCACAGCAGGGACAAGGGGGGAGAGAGGTGCAGCCGGCCTCCTGCCCGCATGGTTGTGGAGGTTTCAAGCTCAAAATTACCTCTAACATGAGAGGTCAGGACTTGGCATGTGAGAAGAAGGACTTCTGCAAGGAAAGCCAAAACGGGAAGCATCTCCCGCAAGTGAAACAATTGGGAAACACGCGTGAAACTGAGAGCAGGGAACCTGGTAGGCTCAAGTCTTGCCAACAGCAAGTCTTTCACCAGCCTTCAGCTCAGAGGGTCTGAAAGCACAGCATTTCAGCACAGAAAGCATAACCCAGCGCTCTAGAATAGAAATACTTCAGCAATGATGAGACGTGCTCTGTTGAAACCATCCCCAAGCACACCCAGACCAACCAGCTCCAGAAACATAGCTACCTCCTGGCCCTGACATGGTCCTCTCTCCCCCAGGTCCAGTACTTTCTTCCATGCACTGAGGACACAAGGGGTAACAGGCACGCTGACCGAGATTTTCAAATCTTGCCTGACTTCAGTACTTCTTAAATTTCACGTGTCTTGTGGAAAAACACCATCGCTGATCAACAATTCAGTTCATCTGACAAACAAGCTGAAACATTGAGCCCGCTGGCTCACAGAGCCTTGCAGTGTTCAGTGCATAATTGTGCAGTATCCGCCCATAAAACACACTACTACTGCTTCCACTCTGCCTGGATGGCATATAAAGCCAGGCTTTTCAAGAGGAAAGATATAATTTCATGATCTTAGAAGGCCATGTGTTCCCTGCAGTATCTCCTCTCAAAACCATGTTTGTCCAAAGACTCACAACCAGCCTGACCGACCAAAGCTGCAAACAGCATCAAATGAATCTGTGGTTTCTCCTGGACCATCAGTGAGTTTATCAGTCGTCGAGACCATTTCTGAAGTTCACCCAGCCTTTTTTCTTGATGAAGGCAAATAGCGGAACTTCAATCGGCACTGCTACATATTTGAAGCCTTTGAGTATTCATCACAGACATTCGCCTCCCAGGGTCTCTGATAAACTTTGAAACCACAGGAAAAATAGAGGCGCTTGGGCTGTCAAAAATCACACTCTGATAGAGCCTGACCATAACTGCACTGTTTGCTGAGCTGAAGAAGGGCCGACTGCAATCACCTCCGAGAAATAACGTTGCTGTAGTTGGGTTGGTCTAGCACGTAAACAGAGCAAGGCTTATAGGTAGTAACTTTTATTAGACCACCTGATATTCACTGGGGAAGAGGAACAGAAAAGCCACGTTGTGTTCCTAAAAGTTTGCCACCCACTAATCTTAGCTGATCTAATAAACATCTCCTTACAGGCCTGGCTTTACACGCTTTTCCAGGCGTTTTCCAACCGGCCTCCCCAGGATGCAGCATAGGGCAGCACCATCTGCTGGGAAGCAGCAGAAAGCCACCGGTTTGTGCCACTCCTGGGATCAACGGCTTTCTGCGGGAGAAAGCGTAGGGTGACAACAAGAAAGGGTGACAACAAGAAAGGGTGACAACAAGAAAGGGTGACAACAAGAAAGGGTGACAACAAGAAAGGGTGACAACAAGAAAGGGTGACAACAAGAAAGGGTGACAAATTGCTCACCTGACCGGGAAGGACCCATAGATGTTCCCACCAACGAAAATAAGTTTGATGCAGAGCTCCAAATGCTACTTCCACGTTTCAACCACCAGGATCACTCTCAGTCAAGTGAGGACCTACATTGTTGACCATGGTTTAAGGTTTTCAGCAGACATAAGCATTAATTTCCCTGACAGAGCTGACTCACCCAGCATGCTGCCGATCAGCAACTCCAGGGCAACTGTCTGCAAGGCTGCACAATAAAGCCCATTGAAGAAATTTATCCCCACAGTTTCCCAGTTAACTTACAAACACCTTAAGCCCATGCTTCTACCTCGCTTCACACCCCACCACATTTAAAAAAAAAAAAAAAAAAGAAGTGGTTATTTAGACCAGGTAAATTCCTGGATCTGGTTCATGAAGCAACTGAACAGACTGTTGTACTGGCACAACTGAAGGGCTGGTGCAGGACAGAAAAGAGCAGTGGGAGCTTAAGTCAGTATTGCCACTAAAAATATGCTTGTAAAACTCAGCATCCTTTGGAAATCGGGTATCAAATATAAACCCCAAACTAAGTCCATTCTGTGAGCGTAACAAGATGTTCCAGTTGTACCATTCAGAAGAGCATCATCGCTACTTACAAGGCAAACTGTAAATAGATATCGCGATTTCAGGGCAAAATAAGCACAGAAAATCTAATGACTAAACTGTATGACAGTGCCATGTTCTGTTTGAGAAAAGGCTTATTTTAAAAGCTTCAGCTAAGCTAGCTCATTTTTACATGTTAATCAATTATCCTCAAATCCTTTCAACTAAGCTAATAAGTGAGTGACGTAAGAGGTACTGAAACGCACCATCTGTCAGTTTTGCTGCACAACCCTGTTCTCTCTAATCTGCGTCCATTATGGAAGATTTAGTACGATGAACCTTAGCAGAGAGCAGCAAGTTCAGAGAAGGGTGCAGAAGGACAGATGACACTGATGGTACATCTCTGTAGGACTTGCATTTTCCTCTTGTGTTGGTCCATATGAGACTTCTGGGTTCTCCTAATTGCAAATGAAGAAATACACAAAAACCACTGAAAAACATGAAGCTGTATTTAGAATAATGATCTTTCCACTGTGTTGCAACCTTGGTTGACAAAGATGCAAAAAGCAATAGCACTTGATAAGAATTATATAGGCAAAGGAGGGTTCAACATAGCTTCTGGTGCTAGCTGTGTTATTAGCTTAAGAGTGGGAAAAATACCAGCTGAATACTGCCATTTTGTTTCTAAGTCCAAAACACTGGGACTCTTTTCAGAGCACTACACAATTGGAAAAAAAAATTTATTACTGGGAGACATAACCATTGAACTGAGAAGAACTGATTGTGTTCTGGAGCACACTGAGAAGTACCCAATCCCACCTAAACCAAGACACTATTTTGTGGTGAGAAAACAGAGTTCAGCTGCACACTGCAATAACTATTTGGCACGGTGCACCCTTTCAGAAAGCTGCTAGAACAAGAAGTCATGTTTAAGAAGTTTAATTCCAAACTTGGCTTTGAACCCCCCACACCCCTCCCCTCCATCCAGGTGTAACAGCCAGGGCACAGGCTTGAAACCCAGAGACCTGGGCTCAGCTGCCAGCCATGCAGCCAGCCTGCAGGTCACCATCTGCACCTCTCCTGTCCCTCCCGATTTTAGGATGCTCCGATCTGAACAGGCGAGGCTGAGACAGGAGATGGAGGGCCTAATTCCCTTGGGAATTTAAGTCCCACAGTCAATGCAAACCAATTTCCAGGGAGGATTCCCAGGGAGCGTGGAAAATGGGACCAGATCCCAGGTGAGCTGCGGCTGCTGCTCTAACACAAGCAGTGCCAGTAACGGCGCAAGCATTGGCATTTGCCACAACTTACCGAGGCTGTTTTCTCCTGTGCTTAAGCTTGGCCAAAAAAAGTGTTTCTGCAGGAAGCCGTCAAAAGTATGGTAAAACACTGTGATTGCTTTAGATCAGCTTCTAGCTCCTCTTCCTGCTGCCTTTGGATCTTAATTTCAGCCCTTCTGACTGCAGGGAATGCGTTTTCTGTGCGACACCATCACGGAGTGCTGGGACCACGACCCCGAGGCTCGCCTCACCGCCCACTGCGTGGCCGAGCGCTTCAACCTGATGGCACAGATGGATTGCGACGACATCCTCAACAACAACACGGACAACGAGGCCAGCAAAACAGCTTCTCCAGGCGGGGAGCACCAGGACAGTGATGGGAACAGAAATATGCAGTGACACAGCAGGCAAAGAGCCTCATCGCGAGAAACGAGAGGATAAGTGAGAAGCATTTAGCTCATGGGAAAAAAAACTCGCTTCATTTTTCAAAATGGAACTAAGATCTAGTACATAACTTATTTATAAGATCTGTTTCCTCCCACAGATACAGTGAACTGCGGAATCAATACTTTGGTTAAAGTGCAACATTATATATGAACTGACTTTGTACTTACTTTAAATGTATAATGATGCAAAGCATTTCTTTTATTATTTTTTAAAATAATAATGTTTAATCTTTTATTAATAAGCACCTGAATTCCATGTCTATCTTTTGAAGTCCTTCCATATTGCCATCATGAGTTTCTCTAACTGCTTATTCTGCAGAGATCAAGACAATTTTCAATTCTCCTTTTTTAATGGCCTCCACACAAAAATCTGTTGTAGCAGCAGAAAAAAAATCTTGAGATGTAACACACCCTCAGTGGAAGAAATGCTGGCACCCAAGAAAATTACTCATTGATAATGATAATTACTGTCATTGATAGACAGTCCTTAATAGAGTGTAAAGATACCCGATAATCCAGTTTGCAAAAGCCTGATTGGCTGCAACCCCAACACACCTTTTTTCACTGGGGAATTCCTGGGTGTACTTGATAGTTCAGGTAGGCGCGTGAAGTTTCTTCAATAGAAAAAAAAAAGTCACCAATACAGACACTGCTGTTTCACTCTAAGAAGTCTCC